GAGGGTGTGCAGCGGTTCCGAAGGTGAGTGCGAGGAGGGATTGGAGGAAAGCTGAAGGCTTGAAGGAGCGGAGTGGAGGCGGTGGAAACGGTGGAGCGAGGAGGCAGGTATTCACTGGTGAGTTCTCGAATGAGGCGACAAAAAACCGGTGTACGTTAACCATCTAGCGATGACTGAAAATTCTGCCGCTCCTATATTCCTCAGCACACTGATGAGACAGATCAGCTCCACGGGCTCCTCACAAAGATCCTCGCTGGAATAAGATGTGACACTCGCATTCACATACACACGCTCTCACACAGGACACCTGACACTACCCACCTAGCGGTGGGAAGAGGACAAGCCACGAGAAGCCTCAAACTCCCTCATCAGTTTGGGATCCAAAATAAAAGAACGAGGAACCCATGACCGTTCTTTGGGGCCATAACCCTGCCAGTCCACCAGGTACGGGAACCCCCATCCACGACGACGAACATCCAGAATCGCCGCAACGTCATACGCCGGTTGACCATCAACATCCCGGGCGGGTGGTGGGGGCTCGGAAGGACGGCAAAGGGGGCTGAAACGGACAGGTTTGAAGAGGGACACGTGAAAAACAGGGTGAATCTTCAACCCCACAGGAAGCTTGAGACGGACAGCAGAAGGGCTGAGAACAGAAGTAATCTTGAAGGGAACAATGAAACGAGGAGACAACTTGTGGTTAGAAGACTTGAGATTGATGTTTCGAGTGGAGAGCCAAACCTTTTGTCCAGGTGAGAATGACGGCGCAGGTGTTCTTTTACGGTCCACCCATCGCCGATTACCCTCCGCCATCCGGTTGAGAGCGGCGATGGTCTGGGCGCAGATGTGCTTGCAGTGGTGGAGATGATGCTGGACCAACGTGACGGATGACTGTTGTTCATCAGCTGGGAACAGAGGAGGTTGATAACTGAGCGATGACTCAAAAGGAGACAGACCAGTGGCAAGGGAGGTGTCACAATTGTGGGCATACTCCACCCACGGCAGGTGTGAACTCCAGGTAGTGGGGTGCGAGGAACAGAGAGATCGGAGAGTGGCCTCCAGGTCCTGACTAAGTCGTTCGGTTTGGCCATTTGTTTGGGGATGAAACCCCGAACTGAGAATCACCTGAACTCCTTCCACACTCTGGACACAAACTGTGGACACTGTCTGACAGGATCTTGGAGGGGATGCCGTGCAAACGAAAAACGTGCTTAGTGAGCAGAAGAGCTGTCTGCATAGCAGTGGGCAGTTTGCGTAACGAAACCAGATGTCATGATGGGTTCAGACTGGTTCCTCAGAGAACCGGTCTGTGATGGACAATATAGTAGTGAAGCCCCTTGAGGGTGGCAACCCGGTAACAAAGTCCAATGCAATATGCGACCATGGGCGCTTGGGAACAGGGAGAGGTTGAAGTAGCCTACTAGGGGGCTGATTACCTGTCTTATTGAGAGCACAAATGGAGCAGGCCAGCACATGGTCCTTAACATCCTTGTACAAGGACGACCACCAAAAGTGCCGCCTCATCAAGGAAATAGTTCTGTTAACACCAGGGTGACATGAAAACTTTGTTGTATGGGCCCAATGAATGAGGTGAGCCCTGATGATCGAAGGTTTGGCGGCTTGTTAGCTGGACCGGGGTCTGACTGTTGCACTGCCAGCACCTGCTCTTTGATCTCCCAAGAGAGGGCTCCAACAACGCATGTTGGTGGAATGATGGTTGCAGGTGGGCCCTCGTGATCTGAGGAAAACTGTCGGGAGTGTGTGTCCGGTTTGGTGTTCTTGGACCCAGGCCTGTAAGATATTGTAAAGTTGAATCGAGAGAAGAAAAGGGACCAGCGAGACTGTCTGGGATTTAGTCTCTTGACTTGTTTGGAGGTAGGCCAGGTTCTTATGATCTATCCACACAACAATTGGATGCTCGCCCCCCTCCAACCAGTGTCGCCACTCTCCCCTTGTAGGTTTAGTCTTTATAGGCTTATGTCACTATTTGTATGAGCAGTCTTTATTGTTCTTTAGTATGAAATTAGCAGGATTAACTTAAACCTGGCTGAACTCAGCTTCTTTTCATTCTGGTTTGACATTTGTGACATTGTTGAATCCTGAACCTTCTGATAATTTTGTCAAGTCCAAGATTCTTCTCTTGTTATAGATTACTGCTGCGGTGAAATAGTCCTTTATTTTCTCAGTCAATCCTACTCAACATTTGAAGACAAGAGCATAAAAAATTATGCTTTACAGTCAAAGTAGATTCAAAGCATTTAGTTAAATGAGGCCTTTGTTGCAGGTTTCTACATGAAGCAAACTAATATACTAACTGCTCTGTAGCAACCAATTCTGCAAACTGCTGAATGTGTGGCTCACTAACGTGCATGATTGTGTGTTATGCTATTTTTGGACAGTGTTGGAGTCTTTGCTTATACCAGATATCGACATAAAGGGTAGGCCCAGTTGTTTCACTAGGAAACACGTGACTTGTTTCCCTGAGGCACGACTGGCATGAAGGTTCAGCACTTTTGTCTTAACATATCCATTTTAGATATTTCCCTGACCAGTGACATCCTTCTGATATGTAAAAAAAAGAACTGACTCAGTAGCAGTCAGTTTGGGTGCTGTTATGAGCAACCCTGAAATGAAGCAAACAGAGGGAAGCAGCAGCCATCATGTGATCGGCCATATTCATACCCCAGGCCAAAAGCAGCAGGCAGAGGCATTTTCTGACTCATGAATCAAATCTTATTTTCATCCTAAGTTTACTCCTCCATGATTACACAGCCTCATGCAACTTTCTTTTTGCTGTAACAGCAAACATGTGAAATAAAAAGGCATAAACCTTTTCATAGAAAGTAACGGTGTGGGAGAATGATAGACAAGGATAGCACAACCAAGGAAGGTGGGTGATGTTAGCGGAGCTGTCAGCATGTTTTAACATCTCAGTTTCTCTACATCTTCGCTTTTCCTTTTCTTACTACCTTACTTCTTCAATACTCTACCGTGTCAGCTATACGACAACTGAAGGGTCGACGACAGCACTTAACCTGTTAGCGGAGGGCTGGTGAGATGGAGACATCATGTGAACAGTTTTTCAAACAGGCATGCATGTAAGTAAGAAGTACAAACACTAAAAAATTCAGTCTAAGGACAAAAAGTCAAACATCCACATTGATTTCAAACACAGATATTGAATAAGAATAAGTCAAACACTTAAAATTCATTTACAGTTTTCAACCAACATAAGCAGAAACAGGGTGTTTTAACAACTAGCATACATGCCATAGCATTAGCTTAATTATGAATAGAAAAACACTTGCAGAATAGAGGAAGCTAAGGTAAGTAAAAAGTAATTTTTTACAAGCAATTGAAGATCTCTAATTGATCAGAATCAGTTCTACGGAGAAGAACAGACAACATAATCATCCATCACAGGAATATCATACTTCTACACACACATCAACTTGAGCAACATTCCATACTCAATCATTATGAAGTTAGGCCATGCCTGCCAAATGTAGTTGCTTCATCTTTTCTGGAAAGGCTTTTAATGAGGCCGATCAGTTAATTGAAATTAACTGAGAAACTGAGCTGACTCTCAGTTTCTCCACTAATTCATTCCATTTTTTTTTTATTTTGAGGTAAAATCAGAACTCTGTGCAGGCTAGTCAAGTTTTTGTAAACCAACCTGTCATGATGGGTTCAAGGTATCTAGGCCACATGCAGAGCACAACACAGGAGAGAATGTATAAGTGAAAGTAAATTTATTGAGAACACAATAAATGGAGGTTGTGAGGTGACGGATTAGGGTTATATTTCAGCAACAAGGCAGTTCAAAGTGCTTTACGTCATAAAAAATTAACTTTTACGTTGTAACTTTTTCTACTTTACAGAAAAAGTTAGGTTGTCTTCTCCAACAAGTTTAAGCTAAGCTAATTTGATTTAGTTATGATTTTGGGAATGTAGAAGGCTTCATCTTATACCTGAAGATTTTATTGGGACTCCTTCATTGGCATTTGGATACAGTGATACATGTTTAAAGTGATTTCATTTTAGATGCCATCCATGTTAGATGGAGTGAAAAATAGGACTACAGCATGCAATTTGATAACTGACAGAATAATTTGACATTCTGAAAAAAAAAAAACTTTTAAATCTGGAACAATGTATTTGATGCATTATTTTTGTCCTATTCACTCTTTCCTCTGTACTAGCAATTTATCAGCTTACTATTTATATAATTGTCATCTACTTTGCATGTATGCATATATCCCATATACCCATAGCTTCAGCAACCAGGTTGTGAGTCTAAAAGAAGGTGACAGGAGGGCCCAATGCAGAGAGATTACTGCCACTATGAGCTTTACTGATGGCCTAGATAGTGACTGCACAGGATGAGAGGAATGTAGAAGAGTGCGTGAGTGTGAGGATGTCAGCAAATACACAGTTGGGGAGGGAGGGACAGTGAGAGAGAGAGAAACATGCACAGTTGAGCAGAGGAGAACTAAACATAGATGCCATAAAGATAGTGAGCCATTGCCAGAGCTGTAGTAGCAGCATGGAGAAGGACCCTCTAAATCTCTGGAACATCATTTTTTTAAGTTACACTATCTGGATTGACAACAGAACTAATTTTGAACGTAGCTGGTTTATGACAGGAATTCAACTTGTTTGGAACTGAAATTGAACAATCAAGTTTCCAGGAACCAACCTTTCCTTTCTAACTGGAAATATTTGGCAGCAAGATTTTTAAAACGGAAGAGTTGAATCAGAAAAGATTGAGCTACTTCTGTCACAAAGTCACCTGGCTGGGAACCTGTGAAAAGAGACAACCTGGCTATTATCACAATGAATCTGAATAACAAAAGTGAAAAGGTTTCATTTTGCTTTCAAACGCAGATATCTGCAAGGACAAAGACAACCTAAGAAGGACAGAGGACAGGCTCATGAAGACCAAACTGGACAACGGAACTTCTTCCTTTCTTTGGGTTGGGTAGTAAAACTATCTCAAATTTTATACCCTGGATATAAAAACAAAATAGAAGAGAGAGCAGCCTATTATGTGTTCAATTTACCTAGAATACAAGACCTGGCTACTGGGATTCTGAGAAGGACTTGCAGAGGTGACAAGTTGTGTCAGCTATAGAATCTGAAACTTTTTATTTTTTGATACCACTTGGAAACTGTTTACCGCACAGACCTTACATATTCAGATGAACACACAGGTGCTATGCTGAGGGGATTGGGTATTGCACCAGCCCCATCAGGCCACAAGTGGAAATTTCACAGTTCTGTTGGGGTGGATTGTAGTAACGCTGAACCCTGCTGCATTTGGCTGGCAGTTCTGAGGGGGGTATCCAATCACACATCACTTCGTCCAACAGCAGTCACACCAACAAGAAGAACCGGTTCCAGGTTTCACTTGTCTTGGGTAAAAGAATTTGCTAACATTCAATACAGTAAATTCTGGCAAATAGATATACTATTTATCATGTGATCATCATGTGATTTTTGAATGTTAGTTTTTACACAGACCTTTCATGGGATACACATGATACACATGTTCAGAGTAGGAGGAAATAATGATTGATGAGCTGCAACATCTCATTTTATTCTCCATGACCCATTTTCAGACCATAGTTTGACATGGTGATAATTTCTTCTGTGAGGAGATTGTAATATTTTTTATATTTAAAACACTGATCTCCAAAACTGAGAGGCAAAAGTAAACATACATTTATTATTAAACTTGCTATAGTATCCATTTGCCATGCACTTTGATGTTGATTGAATTAAAATGATAAAATGATATTGGTTTAATGACTCAAAACTGCCCAAGTTTCTCTATGGTTCGAAAAACCGGCTTCTAGAAGTTGTGCAGTTGGAGCATTCTCAACATAAATGAACACACCACACTATTCAGACCAGTCACAGAAAAGTTCACCAGAGGAGTTCTGATAAGAACCAACAAGGCTGAAAACAAAATGACATGATTTTTGTCACACAGCTGTGACAATGAAAGCTGATTTTGATACTTTGACTCGACCATACACAACCCTTATGTCATCAAATAACTTCTCTTTTTGTTATTAGTGGTAGTGTTGTTGCTTCTGTTGTTGCTGGTGTTATTTATGGTTCTGGTGTCAGTAATATCTGTGTTGTTGTTGCTGGCTGTGTTTTTGCTGTAGTTGTTGCAGCTGCTGTTGTTGGCAGCAAAAAACCCCCCATCTTCATATTGAAGGTGTTTTTTTAGTTGGTGGCAACATTTTTTATGTAGTAATTGTCATTACGACTCAAACCCCCACTTGGTTGTGGCAGGTATCTAGTCCCACTGAACCATGTTCTGGTTCTGTTGGAGTTTTTTTTTTTTTTTCTGTTAACAGAGAGTTTTGCCTAGTGGCAGTTTCTGATATGGGTAACCAACCAGGGCGGCATCTTATGGTGGGCAGCAGAGACCGCCTACAATCCCTCTACAGCATATTCTCCTCCACTCTCCCGCCCAAGAGTGGAACTTGGGCGGGAGAGTTGCCAGGATACCTTATGGGCTAAGAACATGGACGACAGAAATGTACCAAACAGAATTGTAGAATTAGTTATAAATAAAGGTGACACTTACCCAAATCTTAACCTCTCAGACCTTACATATTCAGATGAACACACAGGTGCTATACTGAGGGGATTGGGTATTGCACCAACCCCATCAGGCCACAAGTGAAAATTTCACTGTTATGTTGGGGTGGATTGTAGTAACGCTGAACCCTGCTGAGAGTTGTGTGTGTGAGGGGATGGAGGTAGCGGGGTTTCGCCCGGGGCACCAAACAGGCCAGGACCGCCTTTGATTTTCCTTTTCCACTGTCACTATTTGCGTGCTCGATGTGAAAGATTGCTCCAAAGTCAACACAATGCAAGAAACTGTCCGCTGTTGCAACATGCTCTTTAGGGAGTGAATGTGGCAAGTCAGTAACTTCGTGCAAGTACTGGGTTTCCTTCAAAAACTTTCTTTCACTAATTTTGAACTTAAGTGCGCTGTTTGATGATTAGGATCAGCTAGAATGGATAAACATGACTGTTTAATTGACATTTTTTGTTTTGTAAATTTCCTTGAGACATGCATTTTGAATTGATCAATAAAACTGAATTGCATAGTTCCTGGAGTGGATTTGCTGTTGCAGCTATTCTTATTGCTGCTGTTGGTGGTGGTGGTATCTTTGTTGTTGTGGCTATTGGACAGTCATAATTTTGAGGTGTTTTTATCTACAGCCTGATAGGGTTGATTTTTTTTATGTGTTTATAACCTTCTCTGTCTGCTCTATGTTTTATTTACATTTATATTTTATGCATGTTTCAAAGTTCTAGTATCATTTAAGTAAGCAAAATTGAACAATCAGTGCACCAAACATAGCTTAACACCACATTAGTGTGTACTTTCTGAAAGTGGAGCAATGTATCAATGTAAAACCCAACTTGTCTCTAATGCATAGACAGAATATTATTGTTAATATTATTGTCTTACTGTTTTATTTAATTTACTGTTTTAGAGTTTGCCCATTTATTGCTCCAAAGTGAGTGTCCATCTTTTCTTTATATAATTCCCCCCCAAAAGTCAACATTACTGATTCAAAAAGCTACACCGATTAGCAGTCAATGAACTTTCAGCTTTCCTATCTAGCAACCTCTCACATGCAGTAAGGTTCCCAGTGACACCCAGTGGTATCACCATGATACAAATAACATTTTATGGTTTTTATATGTGCTGTAATTTCATTTCTGTTTGAAATAAAGCATTTTAGAATTGGAATATAATTGAGTTAGCACTAATGTGGTGAAACTGTCTGCTGGCAGGCCAAGGATGCAGACAGAAGGAAGCTAAATGCAGATAAATTCTATTAAATTCAGTCACTCTAGAAACATTTATGTAGCAATTATTGTGATATTATTGATAAATAAATTTAATGCAAATATACAATTTAAAATGTCCTTTCCCACACCCTCTTGGGCCCCCAGGTGCATGATTCTCACAAAAACAGAAAAAAATTAGGGACAGATACAGACTGATTTATTCAGCAGTGCTCCCTGGTGATGCACAAAAAATCTACTGCAGATCGGTTGGTGCGTTAAGGTGATATAGCTGTTGGAATTGCCTAGGGGGCACAGTGGAGGCAATTTACAATTTAATTCAATTTAATGCCCAATAAAATTGCATTTAATGCCCAATAAATTTACAATTTATTGTGCTTCTTAGAGGTTAACAAAGGTCAATCATAGCAAATTTTGGGTAAATGGATTGATGCATGTATGATTTAGAGACAACTGTTTGCGAACAGTGAGGGATTAGAATTTGCCATTCAGCCACGCTCACGTGTTCATGGCAGCAGCCAGTGCATACAGAAGGATTTACCCTCATGGTATTCTATTTCATTGAACACAGGTTAAAATCTACATGAGTAAAGAGGAGAAAAACTGTGAGGAAACAGATGATTTCCTGTTGAAAGGGGGTAGGGCTGAGGTGATATCACAAATTTACCTTTTGAATGTTCTGGTCTGTGATAACACCAAGAAGGTTTGATGTGGCTCGAAGCTTACGTGTAGAATTTATTCCATGTTGATGTTTCATGGTGAATGGTCAGATTTTAGGCTTGGCCATGCACACATGCTTTAATATATGAAAAATCCTCCAATGACTTTTGACCTTCAATGCCTCAAGATTGTGCCGACTCATTTTGAAGCATGGATCTCAAAAGCTGTAGGACGAGTTTGTTCAGATGCAGCATGTGCAACACAGACAAAAAATGATGACACTGATACAAAATGGCCGACTTTCTTATGGCTTTAGAGTCTAAACCCAAGAGTCTAAAAAAAGTCCCTGGGAGCCAAGGTCTAAACTTTAGACCTTGGCTCTGTCAAGGTATACGTGTACTGAATTTCATTACTGTCGGTCAAAGCATGGTTCTGGGCTGATTTTTTTCTTTTTTCTTTTTAAAGATTCTAGGAGGCACTGTGGAGAAAATTGGCCACACCCACCAAATATTGGTCTTCAGTTTTGTTTGGGGTGGACAAGGATCAATCAGTGAGTTTGGTGCAGCTCGACTGACATATGTGGAATTTAGAGCCAAAAGTATGGCCACAGTGTAACTCCTTGCGCTTTAAAGCAAAACGGCCGCCTCCCTGTACATTTTAGGGGGTACATCCAAAAGTCTTTGTTTTCTTGCCTTGGGGGAGATCTACCCAAGTACTGAATTTCAGATCTCTATGACCCATGGTTTGTCTTACCTCATATTAGGAATCACTGTAGAGCAGTTTGGTCTCAGCTACTTGCGATTCCACTGGAATCCAAAAACGTTTATTTGGAGGGAAAATTTTGGGTGAAATTTGGTGAGTTTTTGAATATATTAAAGCCTCCAAAAAGATGTGTACTTTGTCAGAAAATAATAAGAAATACTGCAATTACAAAAGGCCTTTTCAGCGTTTCACTGCCTGGGCCTAGACAAGCAAATCACAAAACACAAATAAATGTGTCTCATTTATTTGAGACACATTTATATAGAAATAATTAAATAAGTGAACAGTTATATGACAACAAACTTTATAATTTTGTATTGTTACTAATTTCACATTTTTGTTTCAAAAGCATCAAGCATCTCAGCAAGTTCTGTTTGATCTCATGTACTGCCACTGAAACATTGAACAAAGGTTGTAAGGACAGGGTAGTAATGTCCATTTCAGCATCATAATCTATTGTATTAAGTGTATTGTATTTGTTATTTTGTTCATATAATTGTGTATTTTTACTTTTATTCTTTTACAATCTGTCTAGGAACTGCAGGTGAAAAATTGGCCTTCTTATCTACAGAAAGGCTACTAATATGCATTGTCCCTGTAACAAATAAATACATTTTAAAAAGTTATACATCTTGTTATCTTTAATCAGTGTAATATTGGAAGCTAAGGAGTGGGTCAAACTTTGACAGTAATTTTTAGGGTGTTTTTTTTAGGTCCATTTCTTATTGTTAATAACTTGGGAGCTGGGAGCCCAAACCAAAAAACGCCAAACCATTCTATTTTAATCACAATGCATTGTATTAATACGCTATCTTTACAGTTAGACTTTGGCTCCAAAGTTTAGAACAATCACTATGCAAGTGACTTTCAACTAAAACTCCAAACAGCATTTTCTTTTTTTAATTTAAACTTTGTTTTTGCCAGATTAATAAAAGCACTTTTTCAAGAAAGTCCCAGACGAGAGGAAACAACAAATACAGCACAAAAAAATTACAGTTAAAGAAAATGTCAATCAGAAATAGAATAATTCCCAACGCATCAATATCCTCTAACAATCAAGCCTCTTCTTTTGCCATTGTTCTTAGTATTTTCCACATTTGTGTCCTTGAGTTCAGATAGTTCCTGTTGTTCCAGGATTTTTATTTATAGAGTTTGTAACTCCCCACTCATTGGGTGGATGTAATAAATGGGATTATGAGTGAGTTTGATGGTCCACTGTGCAGGGAGGAAGTAACAATTCCTGCGTTGGGTGAAATTTTGCCCATATCTGGGCAGAGTCAGAAGTGAATGATGAGAACCCACCCATTTCTAGCTAGTCACATTTCTGTTACATTTTTAAGCTGTGACTGATTCCACAGATCCACAGAGCAACTTGGGTCTCATGAAAGTTCTAGCGTTCACATGGTAACAACTTTTCAGTGTTTGTTTTAGAATGAGTAGGAAGTAACATGTTTTATTTTTGTTCTGGTTTCTGTTTTGCAGACGAAAGGCCAGAATGATGGGATTGTGTCATCCGACAAAAACAGAAGCAACCAGGTGCCATCAACTGAAGTGGCAGCAATGTCGCAGGAAGGCCCACGGACCATTATTCTCCAGAAGAACTCACAAGGTTTCGGCTTCACTTTGCGCCACTTCATTGTGTATCCACCAGAGTCGGCCCTCCAAAGCCTCAAGGTAGCAGACTGTGCAGTTAGAGTTGTTTTGATACCTCATATAGATGTAGATGTAGTTAACTTTATTGTCCAGTTTCAGCATTCATTTTGTATGTATGACCAAGTGAAAGGCTCCTCCACATTTTAATAAACCAGCTAAATACCAGTTCCATCAAAGTCATTAGGGAAGAAAAATAGACTTTGTGTTTTCTGCTCTTGTTTGTTGGTTTTGTTACTTGCTTTTTTGCCTCATTTGTTAGTTGTTTTTTTTGGTCTAAATAGGAAGTTCTGTGCAGATTCTTGTGAATCAGTAAAGACAACTTATACTATAAGTGCACAACAGTTGAACATCACTGATGGTGAACAACAAAAAGATGACACTTCACCCAGAACAAAGCCAGCTGCAGCACAGTTCCTGATCACCAATAGCAAAACAGAAAAACAGAAGTCAACTGGAATCGCATTCTTCAGTCGACCTCAGCCATTTAACGGAGAGCCAAAGACAGACTGTGAAACAAATACTGAGAGAAGAGTGTCATGCATTCGCCTATGATGGAGATGACATGGGTTTAATTCCCTCTTTGAAACTTCACATCACTCTGCATGACACCACTCCAGTGAAGAAAACATATATGTCAGTTCCCAAGCCATTACAGCAGGAAGTTAAAGAACACCTTCAAGATCTGCTGAATAGAGGCTGGATAACTCAGTCATGTTCTCCATATGCATCACCAGTGGTGTGTGTAAGAAAGCTCTGAGGTTGCTCTGAGGTTGTGCTGTGACTACCGGGAATTAAACAGAAAATATGTCCCTGACCGCCACCCCATTCCCTGAATCCAAGACATGCTGGTTTCTCAAACTGACAGCTCCTGGTTCTATGTATAAGACAAGACGCCAAAGAAATCTCACTTTTCTTTTAAACACCTCACACTTCTTTGGGCTCAGCTTCATTCCATGCTTCAGGTATCTTTGCAACACAATTCTCACGTGGTTGAGATGCTCCTCAAAACTTGGGTTGTAAACTAAATTGTCATCCAGATAGGGCTGGCATATCACACCCCTTAAACCAGGCACTCCCTTAAATCAGGCACTCCTCAATGGGGCAGCACTCAAACCTAAGGGGATTTTGATCCACTGGTACAGACACCATGATGTTATAAAAGCAGTTAAGGGCTGACTTTTCTCATCCAGAAACCCTTGATGGTTAGCCTTCCCCTCATCTCTGGTGAGGGCTACACGATGGATACGGCAGAAGTGGCATCAGTTCAAGCTTTGAAGGAGAGAACCCCCACAACTGTAGGAGATCTGAGAAAAATGCTGGGATTTTTCTCCTATTACCGAACATGTATACCAAACTTCTCCTGAATGGCTAAGCCCTTCTACCAGTTTCTGGTCAGTTCACCTGAAAATCCACCATCAGCAAAGCATAAAGACAGGCGGAAAATCAACACTGCAAGAAATAAAGCCATCAAACAGAACCATCAAGAGACAATAAACACACTTATTGACAAACTTGCTGAGCCTCCCAGCCTTGGGTATCCAGATCACATCCAACCATTTATTCTGCATGTGGATGCTTCCCAGGAACGATTGGGAGCGGTTCTGTGTCAAAGACAGAATAACAAAATGGTTGTCATCGGGTACGGATCTAGAACACTGACCCCACCTGAGAAAGATTATCACATGCATTCAGGAAAATTGGAATTCCTAGCACTGTAAGTGAGCAATATGTGAAAGATTTAGAGATAATCTGTATCATGCACCTCATTTCATTGTGTATACAAATAATAACCCCCTGCCCTACATTCTCACCACAACCAAATTAAACGCCACAGGTCACAGGTGGGTTGCCCAACTTGCAGATTTCAATTTCACCAATAAATATTGACCAGGCAAACACAGTACAGATGCAGATGGCCTCTCTCGCATGCCACTGGACATAAATGACTTATTGCAGCAATGTACAGAGGAGGTGACTCAGGATATGATTAGTGCTTCAATTCAGGGAGTGACTGTGCTTCAAGGTGCCCCATCTGTCTGGTTAACCACAGTTTACATCAGCACACTGGATTTAGTAAGTCATGCATCTTCATCTTCATTGTCTGCCCCACTAACACCAGAACAGATCAGAAAAAGTCAAAAGAAAGACCCTCTCATCAAAACCTCTAAGCAGGTATCCGTTAAGCCCACATTTCTGTATCAACTATTTCTATGTAGTGGTCAGAAGTAATATCTGTCTGTCTGGCCATCCATACATTCATTCATTTTCTTATCCAGGGGTTGGGTCATGAAGATGTAATATTTAGACATAAATTTATGTCGACGTTGCACAAAGACATGACAGTGAAAGTGGCATTGAAATGTCACCGGTAAACTGCTTCCACTGGAGCACAGAAAAAGAAAATCTAAAATGTGCCTATAAATTGAGGGCGGCTACACAGTGGGGCGAGAGGGGACAAATATTCCCTCAAACGAATGTCTTGCCCCCTCAAATCAAACCTCTCACAAATAATGGAACATGGAAGTTCTGCTGTGCACCACGCTGAGCAAACTGCAGTCTTTTTCTTTATCTACAGCCAACGAACAGCTCAAACTCAAACCCCTCCACCACTAGTAAACAGCCAATCAGCATTCGGTATGCAGATGAGCCTTCAAATAGCCTTGAAAAGTAAAAATCACGCGAGCAATATCCCACTCCGCAGCCAGAGGGGGAAAAAAAATGCTTGCGAATTATGACTACCATTTGTTTTATCTGTCAAGTTGTCTAAATCTTAAATATGCACTTTTATATAAAGGGATAAAGGAACACAGTGCTTTGCTAACACTGCAACAACTAGAAAACAAAGCCTAAGGTCATCATTTTAATAGGTCAGTAAAAGGTTTTAATCACAAAAATGGAGAGGTAGAGCAAAGTAGGTCAGTTATGTTAGCTCAACTAACAACATTAACACGTAGATTTTGTGCCGTGCAAGTTGGGTTTGCTTTGTTTAGGTTAAAATAAGGTGACACACTAACTCTCTGACAGATCATCGGTAGAGCAGGTGTTTAAATTAACTAGTCAACCATTGCTGTGATCACTTAATAGCAAAAAAAAAACTGTATGGAAGTCAGCAGAAAAAAATTACTTGAGTCTTGTTTTATTCTTAATGTCTTCCAATCAAACCAAAAATGGAATGAAGTACAACCGTTGGTGTTTTCTCACCTCACGTTCTCCCCTTCACAATAAAAGTATACATTTGAGTGTGAAATACATATAGTGTATGCCACACCGGCCACCCCTGATCACACAGGATGTCACAAACACATAACATATGAAACAACATCACAAGTACATAAAAGAAAACACATACAAAGGAAAAGCTAAGCAGCAGTGACAAAACACTTGAAATACCTGACGGCAACAACAAGGGAGTTTAATAAATCGGCCACCATGGCTTCTTTTCACAGGAATGGGGGTTGAAATTGAAAAAAAGACTCTACAGAGACCTTGAGCAGACAATTTGTGCCCCAGAAACTCAACAGCAGGCATCTTGACAGTGCTGACAGAAACCTACAAACATTCCTGCACAAAGAATAGAAACATTTGGAAACTCCAAATAAAAGATAATTTATTGTAAATAAGAGGGGTGTGGGTGGAACGGGTCTGGTTTGTTCCACCCACAGAGCGTTCGGCACACTATGAAAACACAGCAAAAAGATGGTGAGTTTACGGTCGTCAGAGACGTAAGTGCTAATGGTAATATTGGAAAGATCTTACTTGTGGATATGATGAACAATGTCTCAGAGGATTTGCTGAAGTGTTTGGGGTCTCGGTCTCTTTGTGAGGCCAGGTGATCCAGTTCATGGCCAAAGGAAACCGGAGGGCGATGTGGAAGTGCAGCAGAGGGCGGACAGGTAAGTTCAGGTGGAACGGAGACTGAGGTGCGGTTCAACTGCTAGTCGGAGAATCCAGGGAGAGCTTGCGATCAGACAGAGAAGGTGAATCTGGGAACTAGGGCAACCGGGGGTGGGGGTACTTTCCACGGTGTTACAAGAGAGGTTTTGTCCAGAAAACCTGGCTAGATTGTCACAGGGATGATCCAGGGTGTCTCAAGAAAAACACCTGAAGACGGTAAACAACGAGAGAAATCACTAGGAGAAAAGTTCAACAAGGAAACACAGAGACTAGCTCCCAGGGGCTCAGAGTACCATTTACTAGCTAACACTCAGGCGTCGAAGTACTGGCAGTCAGCTCCTCTTGTACTCCAGGACAGCACACCAGTGTGTCATCCTGAACCCTGGTGTGCAGGATTACGGCACACCTCTCTAGAGAAGGAAGGTTTGGCGCCATCTGGTGGATGAATGGTGAGTGGCAATAGAAAGAAAAAAGTCACAAAGAAACAAAGAACCCCAGGACACGACAGTACGCCTCCCACCCCCCTCAATGGTCGCCAAGATGAATGGAAGCTGAGATGAATAGAAGGGGGATGAGGAGCAATAAGGGAAGGATCTAAAATGAAGGAACCAGAACCCAGGAGTGATCCGGTGGACAGAGTAAGTTGGATGGCCATCGATATCTCGGGTGGGATGAGGGGGCTCGGAAGGAGGGCATAACGTGCTGGTCTGGTTGGGCTTCATGTGGGAGACATGGAAAGTGGGATGAATGCGAAGGAGGCGGAGCCGAACTGCAGATGGGTTTATGATAGATTCAATCTCGAAGGGACTGATAAATCTGGGAGAGAGTTTCTTGGACATGGATTTAAGTCGAGGAATGTCACAGGATGACAACCAAACCTTTTGACTAGCCGTGTAGGAGGGAGCCGGGATTCGTTTATGGTCAGCTAAGCACTGTTCTGCTCAGCTGTATTGCAGAGGTTATGGATGGTGGTTCTCCAGATATTCTGGCCGAGCGGATGTGGTGACAAACTGAAGTAATAGCAATACTATCCTCCTTGGAAGGAAGTAGTGGAGGTTGATAAACTAGGGAGACCTCAAACGGGGACAGACCAGTAGCAGCAGAAATGTGGTTATGATGGGCATACT